TATTTTGTATTTTTTTTAATTATTTGTATTTTAATTTAAAAAATTTTTTTCCAAAAAATTTTGAATCACCCTGTATAACACCATAAACATGTACAAATCAAAATCGGTTGTAATGGTTGTAATGTTAAGCCGAGAGTAAATGTTGATAAGGTTACTGCAAAATATTATTACGTAATTATTGTTATTTGCGCATATGGAAGGATTATCATTCTATATTTGAGAAAGTACAAGAATCATGGAATTTTCTCTTGGTAACCTTTGAAAACCATAATTGGACTTGGCGTAATAAAATGTCACGTGATAATACGCGAAAGACGTATATAAAAAGTATATTAAAGTTTTACCTATTTTTTCTTTTAATCCCTTACACGAAACAAATTTTTTTGCGTAATGCCGCCTCACGATACTTCGGAGGAACAACCTCTCCTCAATGAAGAGGATCGAAATTCTGAAGCACCCTTTAAATTCACTTCAACGCAATTAGCGGAACTTATAGAGTCTAGAAACCGCAATGCATTAAAAGAATTAGGTGGTCCCGAGAAAGTTTTGGAAGGCTTAAGGGTAGATCCTGCTATTGGTTTAAGCTCAGACGAAGGATTAGGCTCCTCTAAGAATCAAAGGCAAAAGTATTTTGGAAAAAATGTAAGCTTTTACAAAATAACAGCATCGATTACCATCGAAAAATAGTGTTGATGAAAAATTGCGACGTTATCTTAAGGTTTTGCCGACAACCCCACAACGTTCCTTATTATCGTTAATCTGGGAAGCTTATCAGGATAAAACTTTAAGTAAATGGATTATAGTTATTTCATAATCCGAATGAAAAATTCTTTATATCCTTATGTTTTTAAATTTAAAAATTTAGTTTTGTTGAGCATTGCCGCCATCGTATCGTTGATCGTGGGTGTTAGCGAGGACTATTCTTCTCGTCATCCTGACAACGAACCTCGTGTCGGTTGGGTTGAAGGTATTATTTAATTGACAACAAATTTCATAACTAAAGTTGACGTTCAGTAAAGTAAAAGTAAAACGTTAATTAAAGGTGCTGCCATTCTGGCTGCCGTCGCCGCCGTTGTTTTCACAAATGCAATTAATGACTACCAGAAGGAAAAGCGGTTTAGAAAACTTAACGCAAAAAAGGAGGACAGAACCGTTAAGGTGATTTGCTATGATGTGTAAAAAGGGATCATTTTACCTTATATCATCCTAATGGCAAAAGTGTCTATCCATACTAGCTTATTCGCAGTGGTAAAGAACATCAAATTTCAGTTTATGAAATCAACGTTGGGGATATACTGGTAAATTTTCATTAAAACTCTTCATTCCAACTCATTTGATGAGAGAATTCCTGATGGATTTGAAATTAATTAAATTGCAGCTACTCGAACCTGGAGATATAGTCGCGGTTGATGGTATCTATTTGAGCGGACACAATCTCCGCTGTGACGAATCTAGTCTTACCGGTGAATCCGATGCTATAAAAAAAGGCGATTTGGACTCTAATGGGGATCCATTTATACTTAGCGGTGCAAAGGTAATCGAAGGAGTTGGAAAAGCTGTCGTCGTTGCAGTTGGTAAGATATTCATATGATTATTCACAGAATGTAATATTATCGTCACAATTCTTAGTGTGATCACTAATTCTGTCCAGGTCCTAATTCATACTACGGAAAAACCATGATGGTTAGTAATTCCTAATGTAATATCGAACAACGAATTTTTAAATCGAAGAACTTCACGCATTCTCTTTTGTTTCTAGGCACTTAGTGGTGGTGAGAATATCGAGACACCACTTCAAGTAAAATTAGATGATCTCGCTGAGCAAATAGCAAAATTGGGTGTTTCGGCCGCTTTGGCTATGTTACTGTAAGTTTTCGCCAACCATTTAATTTTTCTGGATATTCATGCGAAAATGCTGTGCTGATTTCTCAACACATTACTTCCCATAGCACTCTTTTCATCAAATATTTCGTCACTGCCGCTCGTTCGAATGAATTTCCTGACGGAGAAGCAATCTTGACATCACTAGTTTCAATCGTTATCCAGGCTATTACCATTGTCGTTGTTGCCGTACCTGAAGGGGTATGTAATAAAGTTGCTATTGAAATAAGCATATCGTTCATTACTTTGCTAAATACTATTCGACATTCTAATTTTCAAAAAAAAAAAGCTACCCATGGCAGTAACGCTCGCACTTGCCTACGCGACCACCCAAATGTTGAAGGACAATAACTTGGTTCGGGTGCTTTCCGCTTGGTAAGTGCAATGTTATTCAGTGGTAAGAATTTGGATCCAATTAAACATTCTCTTCTTTTGTAAACTAATTATAGTGAAACCATGGGAAATGCTACCGCAGTATGCTCAGATAAAACTGGTACGTTGACACAAAATAAAATGACGGTCGTAGAAGGAGTTATTGGTCGAAAGACGTTCGGTGATGAAAATGAGATTCCAAGATGGAAAAATGAAGTTGCTCCTTCCACGTATGACATCACTGTGCAAGGAATTGTGATTAACTCGTCTGCATTCGAGGGAAAGGATGATAATGGAAATCCGTGTTTCGTCGGGTATGGTGATTATTAATCGATTAATCTGCATGATAATATTTTTACGATCAAAACCCATTTGTATTTATAGTTCAAAAACCGAATGCGCCTTACTCGGTTTTGTAAGTTCTTTTGGCGTGGATTATCGAGAATTGAGATCTCACATCAAGCCAGTTAAAATATATCCATTTTCATCAGAACGAAAAACTATGACCTCAGTTATAAAATTAGCAACTTCAGGAAGTTCACACGGCAAAGCTCCTGCAAATGCAGAATATAGAGTCCACGTCAAAGGAGCATCTGAAATAGTTTTAGGTTCTTGTTCGCATTATGTTGATTCCGATGGAAAAGTTCAGAAGCTCGATGAGAATTCTAAACGTGATTTCGAGATTGTTATAACACAATTTGCGGGCAAGGCTCTACGCACAATTTGCTTGGCATACCGTGATGTGACTGCTAACGAATTAGAACATTTCAACGAGGAGAATGCACCACTCGAAAAGTTAGTGTGCTTAGGAATCGTAGGTATTCAGGATCCTCTGCGTCCTGGTGTAGTGGAATCTGTGAATGAATTTAGGAAAGCTGGCGTCATGGTCAGAATGATTACTGGTGATAATCTTTTAACAGCAAGCGCTATCGCAAAAAATGCCGGTATATTAACTAAAGGTGGTGTTGCTATGACTGGGACGGAATTTAGGAATAAAACGAAGGAAGAACAAAGTGAAATTGTTCCTTGGTTACAGGTACTCGCTCGTTCGTCACCAACTGACAAGACCATAGTCGTCTCACGTTTACAAGAAGCGGGAGAAATTGTCGCAGTTACCGGGGATGGTACTAACGACGGACCAGCGTTAAAAATGTCGGATGTTGGATTTAGCATGGGTATAACCGGTACGGAAGTTGCGAAAGAAGCTTCCGATATTATTTTAATGGACGATAATTTTAATTCTATCGTTAAAGCCTTAAAGTGGGGACGTGCGGTTAATGATAGTGTGCGAAAATTTTTACAATTTCAACTCACCGTAAATATCACTGCCGTTATTTTGTCATTCATAAGCGCCATTCTCAGTGAGGACAATCAATCTGTATTGACTGCTGTGCAACTGTTATGGGTTAACCTTATTATGGATACCCTGGCTGCTCTTGCTTTAGCAACGGAGCCCCCTACAGATGATCTCTTAAATAGACGGCCTACTGTTAAAAACGCATCCCTAATTAACTATCGAATGTGGAAGATGATCATTGGACAAGCGATTTTCCAGATAGCTATAAACCTGGCTTTGTTGCATCAAGGCTATAAGATCTTTCATCTCGATGAAAACGATAAACATCAGAGGGCTGTAATGCGAACCATCATCTTTAACGCATTTGTCTTTCTTCAAGTCTTTAATGAGATCAATTGTCGACGTATCGATGATAGTTTGAACGTTTTTCGTAACATCTTTAACAACCATATATTCATCATCATTCAATTTATTGTTATTGCGGGCCAATTCGCCATTGTCCAATTTGCCGGGACAGCTTTTGGCACTGTGCCACTTAACCATTATCAATGGCTCGTTACCGTAATAATCGGGTCTCTTTCTCTACCTGTGGGTTTAATAATCAGGCTTATTCCCAATAGTTGCTTACCAGAAAGTGCTATAAATGAAGATTTTAAACCAAAGGTCAGCAAAGAAAAGCGGTTGTGGGGAGCCGGAATTTCCGATGTCAGGACACAACTGAAAGTTTTCAGGGCCTTGAGAAAATACAAGGGCAAGTCTATTCCGGGAAGTAGAAAGAACAGTTTTGCCAATGCAGCTCATTCAGCGATTGGAAAATAATTTTAACAAAATCTCGCTTATTGGATAAAAAATTACAAGTGATTGTACGGAGTAAATCCCAGAGGTTAAGACCGCAGATATATCCAACACAGTTCAGTTAATTCTTAGTTAAAAATTACATCTATTCGATATTCTTAAATTTGATTTTATTGATTACACATTCTCTGTTGATGAGAATTATTCTATATACCATCTATTAAATATCTTTTAAATAACATTTTCTATACCTAGTGCAAAATATCAAAACTCCGTGGATACTCGCAGTACTGATCTCCCACATGTATGACTTGAAAAATACCTGAACGAAAAATAAAAAATTTTTAAATGTATAATTACTTGATGAGTCGGGAGAAGGATGCAAAAATAAAAAAAATACCTTGTTGTGAAGTGTAAATCGAATGATTATATTTGTGAATATTCATAACGGTCTGTGTTTCCAATATCCGACCTGGTTTACGTTCTTTACCGTTAATCAATAATTCTCTTCGGGTATAGGTAAATCGGAAGGGTGGTGTACCTTTAAGGTAGTCAATAAAAAAGAAGTCAATTTAGTTTAATAAAACGAAACAAAAAGTTGTGAACTCAAGTATTCCAAATTACCTATTAATTTAATAATAATTTCCGTCTTGTCGCCTTCTCGGATGTCAGATATAACATCTCTACCTTCTGAAACAATGGCAGTTGGAAGATCGTAGATTATTTCAGTCAAATTTACACGTCCACAACATTGATTTTTTTGATGACAAATTCTAGTAAGAGTCATATTTCCAGG